CCTTGGGTTTTTGTTTGTGCTCCTCTGCATGTCCATAATTCCTGCTGCTCCCCCCTCCCTACCCGGCCAGCACGGAGCAAACCGCGCATCCCTCTGATCCCTGATGCTCCGGCACAGATCCCAACGGGACCAGACAAGTGCTCATCCAGCTGCAGGAGCCTTAAAACGGTGATGAAGCCCTTCTGAATCCTGTGTGGGCAGGGCACGCACGGCGAGGGAGAGGGGGAGAGCCGAGGAGCAGCAGCCCGGGGCTATAAGTGGCTGTTGACTTCACTCTCCCATTTGGGAGTAGGTGGAGGAGGTGGGTGGCCGTGAGCAGAGGGGAGGCGGAGGGGGCAGCAGCTATTTCCAGCTGCACTCATGTGCCATTTCTCTCAGTGCTGAGATTTGAGAGAAAACAGCAGGAGGTGGGGAGTGGGGGGAACCAAAAAGGAAAATCACAGACTCTGTGCAGGAGAACATGTTAAGGAACAAGAGAGAAGTCGTTACCAACAGCACAGCCCTGAGATTCTACCAGTACTGGGGGGTTTAAAAATATAACAAAACCCAAGGCTGCTGGGACTGCTTCCCTGCATTGCACACAAGAGGATATGATGGAAATGAGGCCACTGACTGAGGGGCCCAGGCCAATGCGTGGCCCCAAAATGATGGTAAAAGCTGCTGCTTCCAGAAAACCTCGCTCCTAATACACTGCGAGGTTTTCTTGGCTCCCAGAGATTATGTAATATGTTCTTGCCTGCTGCTGCTGCTGCTGCTGCTGCTGCTGCTGCTGACTCATATTTTCCAAAATATATTTGGGAAGGAAAACATATGCACATGTGTTTTAATGCATAGGTTTCCCTGGCCATGTCCAGAGTGACCCACAGGGAGGTGCAGGGCTGCCTGCACATGTGTGGACATGTGTGTGCCCTGACATGTGTGGGAAGGAGGGACAGGGACAGCCTGGCAGCTGCTGGAAAACAGAGATTAAAGCAGCACTGCTTTCTGGGGCAAAGCACAGCAACTCTACCACAGTGCAGGAGGGACCAGAGGACAGGGAAGCCAGGGAGGGAGAGAGCAAAGGGAGAAGCATGGAGCACGCGCTGCCGACAACCTCCAGCCAAACCTGGGCTCTGGGGACCAGACACAGACTTGTACTGAGCTTCAAATCAGCTGGGAAAATTGGCTTTGTGGCAGCTGGGGCCACGGTGACAATCTGCAAACGGCACTGGGCTGAGAGGGACATCAGGGCTGGCCTCAGCACGTGGCTCAGCAGCACCCACCCCTGCAGAGGGTGCTGGGGGCAGCAGGGCCAGTGCTCCCTGAATTCCATAAATCTACAGTCTGGCTCCTGTTAATGCCTGGGAACACACTTCCCAGGCTCTGGGTGTGCACTGAAGAAGTCAGGCTTCTCCTGGCTGAACATTTCGAATTCTAAGGCAGCCCGTTAGTCTTAAGCAAATTTGTTCCCAGCCTGCAGGTTTGGGAGGTTTAGCTCCTCTGCTCCATGCCTGGGTGCACTTCTAATTCCTTAGGAAAGACTTTTTGACAATTCTGCAAAACTCTCAGTATCCAGGAGCTTGGATCGATCTGCTGCTGGGCATTGGAACAGAAATCCATCTCCCCTGGACCAGAGGAGACTGAAAATCTATCCAGATGTCAGCCCCTGATCCCCACATCACGGCAGAAGCCTCGCACCGATGACAGCCTGGTTCCATGCACTGCCTGCTCCTTGTGCCTGTGTGCTCGGGAAAAATCAGGGGACAATTCCCCACACAGGGACAGGTGACAGTGCCCCTGTCCCTTCTCACCTTACACACACCTGTGGAGAGGGAACAGGCCCTCTCCTTCAGCCCTGTATCATCCTTATGCCCATACAAGGGCTCTGTTGATATTCCCTGCCTTACGCAGCCAGCACCAGAGTTAAGACAATTCTATTTTAACACCTGAAATTTCATCAGAGCCAACTGCTCTTTCTTGTTTTAGAGCAACTTGAAAATGTTTCATCTGCATTCAAAACTGGTTCTATAATTGCTACTTTTTAACTTAATTCTCCTAGAACTTCACAAAAGAGCAAACATCCAGCGTGCCTAAAAGGCTTTGGAATAAACCTTAAAAACAAACATTAAAGATTGATCACGCTTTCTCAAGATTATACTAAAACTGACTGAAGCTCAACTAGATAAGGAAAGAGAGTTGCATTAAATTAATCAGCACCTTATCAAGCCAGGAAGAAAGAACTGTAGATAACAAGCCTTCCCTAAATTTGGTATCAGAACAGAAACTTCAGTGCACAACGTACTGAGAGAACCTTGTCAGATTTACTGAGCACAATACAGGGGAGTGGAGCAGCAGAAATAGCAGGGGAATGAGGTCCACAGAAATGCTTTGAAAAAACCCTGTTTTCTGGTAATGCCAGCAAGAGCTGATGCTTTTGTCAAATGGAACAATTTAATTTGACAAAACTTTTCCCCAGATATGCCCAGCAAATTAACCCGCTCCTATTGGGGTAGAGGACGGATCCTTAGGGGTTTGCTGTGCACTCCTGTTCGTGTAGCTGAGACCAGACTGCATTTGCCCAATGACAAGGGAACAATTCCCACACAATTCTGTCCCTTTTGCTTTCCAAGCCCTCGGAGCTGGGCTGATTTCTCTCCCCGCATCTCCCGGTGTGGGCTGCAGCCACTCTCACAGCTCTGAGCTCACATGCAGGGGCTCAGAACCCCCAAAACTGGCACCAGCAGCAGCTTAACCCTTTGGAAACTTCGGGGCAAGCATCCCGAGTCCCGGGAGTGAACAAACCCAGCCAGCAGCACCCAGGGATTTTGCCGGATGCCTGGCGAGGCTGCGGGCTCTCTGCAGCACAGGGCAGGGCATCCCTGAAAACCAGACACTGTCCTCAGCATTCCAGGCAGGACAGGAGGGGAGCAGGGCTGGTGACAGAGGCCCTGGCAGGGAGCAGGAGAGCCAGGCTCGCTGCTTCCCCAAGCAGGAGCAGCGGGAAGGACATTCCAGCCTCAGCCCCCGGCAAAGCGCAGAGCCCCGGGCACGCCGGGCAGCGACAGCCTCGCTCCAGAAGGACAGGAGGACACTGGAGCACACAGGGCTCGTGGCACCACTGTGACCAGCCTAGAAATCCACTTGGGGCTTTAGCCAGGGACAAAAAGGGGAAACAAAGAGCCGGGCTGCTTTAAGCAGGGTGAGCCTGCTCTGCCTCCCTGGCACCCAGGGTGCGCTGCTGCTGCCGGCTGTCCCCAGCACCCACAGGGGTCAGCGCCTGCCCTGCCCATCCCGGACAGGTCCTGGAGGAGGGCAAGGGGCAGGGAACAGCTCATCCCTTGAGAACAGGGATTCATCCATCCCTGGGAACAGCTCATCCCTGGAGACTGAGCCCAGCCCGGCGAGCAGGGCGGGCTCGGCGCGATGCAGCCGAAAATAGCCCCACGCCGGCTGCCAGCAGCCCATACGTTGTGTTATATATGTCTCAGCTGATGCAAAGGAAGGGGCAGGCACTGAGCCACATGGCCCTTCACATGGGCACGGCCACACTCGGCTGCTCCCAGCTCCAAAATCCCCCAAACGCAGCCTCAGCCCACAATGCCCGGCACCAGCCTGGCCCCCGACGCTGCCCCACGGCAAGGGCTGCAGGAAAATGCACAAGCCAGACCCCAAACACGGTGCCAAACAGCCTCCCCCACTGGTGAGCCCTGCATCCTGCTCCAAATCCCAGCCCCACTAACCCCCATCCCAAAATGTGCTGCTCTGCAACCACCCCGTGCCTCAGTTTCCCCAGTTCTGTGACAGCACAAGGGGTAGCTGCCCAAAGCAGCACACTCCTATGAAATTATATCCCTGTGGATAAACTAGAGTCAGTTGAGATCCAGACCTAATTCTTTAAATCCTTGCATGCATGCACTCCCTTCATCCCCCAAAATTCTCTTTAATTCAGGTGGTGAAGCTTTCAGGCTGCCCAACACAGTCCCCACCAGCACAGCTCTGGGGGCTTCCTGCCCACCATCAAGGTGGTGTTTCTGACAATGCCAGAGTAATTCCCAGGAAAACCAGGAATAAGGAGCAGATGCCACATGGCCCTTTGCTGGTTAGAGCCACCCCAGCCGTCTGTCGTGCTTGCAGATTAAGACTCATTTCCACTCAGGAAAGAAATTCAACCACAACTAATAAAATAAAGACAATAAATCACAGTTCCTCCAGCAGCTCTTCCTCCAGGAGCATCTATTTTTAGTGGGAAGCATCAATCACCACAGCTCCTGCTGTCTACAACAGCTCCAACAGGCAAAACCCAGGTAGGCAGAGCTGGGCCAACGTGGCCACACAGACGTTACCCACCTGCACAGCCAAAAAGGGCACACACAGGACAACATCAGGCATGGCTACACCTCAGTGCTGTGAGATATTCCTCTATCCCAGATGGAAAAGAGAAGCCACAAGGCAACAAGGGAACAAAGGAACGCGCCCAAGGCCGCACAGTAAATCAGTGGCAAAGCCAGGAGCCGGCAGAACTGTCCTCTGCCAGCCCTGGAGCCCCTGCACAAGCGCCCTCCTCAAACAGGACAATTCTCACACAATTATTAACATTTGGGAGTTCTCCTCAAGCTTCCTAACTTCTCCTCATTGGAGCCTCCGCAGCTCCAAGACAAATCCTTGAGTTTTACCAAAATCTCTCCCAAGGTTTCACTGTGAGAGACACACTGAGCACATTGTCACACCCAGCTGAGAAAATGCACAGAGGAAATGGAACACACAGGGAGAGATCATCATTCCAACACGGAGCACACGGACACACATGCAGGCAGGCACGGCACACAGACAAACCCAGCTGAACACACGAACCAAGCACCACAACAAAATGAAATGACAACACAGACAGGGGTTCTAGTCACAGATTGAAACTAAAGCAACCAAAAAGAAAAAAAAACACAACCCCAAACCAACAAAACAAAACAACTAAAAAAAAAAAAAAAAAAAAAAAAAAAAAAAAAAAGCCCAACCAAAAAACTTACATGGATTTTTGGCAATTTTCCTTCAGACATTATACACAGCAGCTGGGCTGTGTACTGAATACCTGATCCAAAAAGAAATATAACCACATTATGCAAACAGATGGGGGCAGGAGTCAGGTGAACATGCAGCTCTTAATAACAGTCATCTACGGGCTGAGAAAGCACCTCTGCATTCCCACAGAAGGGCTGGCATCGGGGCAGATCTTCACTCCCTCCCCAGCAAACGCCAGGGCTGTGCTGCTGCCATCCCGGGGGAAAAGCCAAATGGCAGGACAGGGCAGAGCCACGGCGTCACAGAGCTCGGAGCTGTCCCATCCCCTCCAACTTGTCATGTGAGGTTTTAAACAGAGGTGGGAAATAGCCAGGGTGGGGGAGGAAGCCCTTCGAAACCCGAAAGGAAAGCGCTTTATCTGCCTTAAAGACAGAGCATTAGAAGCGCCGTGCAGCAGGACAAGCCGGGATCATCCCGACACTTAAGCTCTCAGGGAAGCACCCGGAGAGGGGCACATCCCCCTTTCCCTGCCGAGGAGGTGCCTGAATCTTTAAGACGGCGGATTGCTGCTCGGGAGAAATGGACTTTTTATGGACTGTGGGAAACGGGGTTGCTATGATACAGGCAGAGGCATTTTCATGAATCCTGTGGCAAATAACATTGAATCCTGCTTAAGCAGACAACAGCAAGGCAGGTCTCCCATCACCCAGCCTCAGCAAACACAGCAGAAGCACTGAAAGAGATTATACGCATCACAAATACGCTTTCTGCAGACAAATTTGTATTTTTTTCCTTTGGGGCCATATTTTTCAGAGGGTCAGCACTTTGATTCCTTTAAAGGAATGATCCCTCTGCCTCATCCCTGGGTCTGAGCATCCCCACAAAGGTGAAGAAACCTGGGGGAGTCATGGGGCCGAAGCACCCCCAGGACCTGAGAGTGACCCCAATGGTCCCAGGACACGTTCAGCTCCAATCCCAGGGAATTTCACAGCAGGCAAATGCCACCCAGAACACTGCAGGCACAGTCCTTTGGGGGCACAGGGATCTAGTGGGGACTGGCAGTGCTGGCACCCCAGAAAGCTCCCAGCGCTCACCACGGGCTGAGCCGCTGTGCCCAGCTGGGCAGAACAGAGGGGCTCCTGCACGCCTGGAAATGCCAAACTGCAGCTGCCAAAATACAAAACTGGGGCTGGGGCAGCGCTGAAGAGGTGAACACTGAGGCCTGGGCTGGGAGACAGAGACCAAGCTAAACAAGCAGCAAGCCCAGCCCTCGCTTACTCTTTCACCTCTTGCTTCCTCTCTTTTCCCCCAAAATTCCATCAGGAAGCCCGAGATAACGAGAACAGTGCTGCTACAATAACAAAGTTTGCTGCTGCCAACTTTCCTATTGCTCTGCATTAACTTTCCTTCTTTAACTCTACCAGCCTTCAGGAGGAATAAAAGGCAAAAAGTTGTAATAAAATCACAGGAATTCTCCCAAGCAAACACGTTCTGCGACGGGAAGAACTCGGCTCCCGGCGCTCCCTCCCAGCAGCTGAGCGTGCACAACCCCTCATCCTCCCCATGCAGCCCCAGCACAGCCCCAGCACAGCCCCCCAGGGATGGAACCACAGGGGCACTGCAGAAGGAGCCATGGGGCATGGCAGGAACATCCAGCACCCAACACGAATAATTCCTAAATATATCCCCAGGAGTACAAGCTCTGGATCAAGGAATGCGCCCAGGAAACCGCGGCAGGCGCTGGGCATTCCTCGTAGAAATCGTATTGAAAGGTAAACCTTAGTGCCAGAGAACCGTGAGAAAATAAACATTCAGGCACAGCCACGGCCCATGGTAACTCGCTGGTCAGTTTTGGGGTTGGGTTTTTGCTCATTTTTCCAGCCTTTCTCCTCCAAATCCCTTTGTCGCTCAAGGCTGTTCCCCTGAAAGGATGATTTTGGCTGCTGTTTGATCAATTCCCTCTCCATGGTGATCTCAGCTCATTTATTACCTTTCCAGGAGATTCTGCAACCTATAAAACTAATGACACAGAATGGCCAACAGGCAAATAGAGCAAATTTGAGCTGTTTAACAACCCAAACCATGGTCAGCATCAATTTTATTCACTCGGGTTTTTTTCGGGAAGAAGATTGACTCAGTCTCCCGTGAAGTGAAGCAGGTACCTCCTGCAGATAGCTACAAGTGAAGAGGGTGAACGGAGCCAGCAGGCACCCGAGCATCTTCCTGGGCTTGAATCTCTGGCTCCTGCCTTTCCTCCCCACTAAAACAGGCTCCTGCCCCACAACACTTTTGGGGACAATTGTTCCCACCCTGGGACTCAGGGAAAATATTTTTCTCTTTTATTTAGAGCTAAAAGCACTTTGAAAGTGGCAAATTTGCAGGATTTAACTCCGTTTCCAATCATGCCACCATGGAAAAGCCATCGGCTCCCGAGCCCTGCTCAGCATTTAACTCCCAGCACACAAACCCCCACTGGGAAATAACTCCATGTCTCCATCTGTAACCTCCAGCTTTGTCTTTATCTATCAGTTACATGATTATTTTTTTTTCAGAGGGCATCAAATAAATAATAGACAGCTGGAATAAGCATGAACTAATTAAATTATCAAGGTAATAAAATTCCAGTGACCATCAGCAAAGATAAAAACATTTTCAAACTGATATTTTTGTTTGTTTCATGCAATTCTGATTTTTCTGGAGGGTGAAATAATATAATTAATAAATCCTGAAGACCTCTAACAGAAGCACAGAACAGAGATATATTTTCCAGAGGAAAAGGCATTACTCTTTCCAGACATTCCCTTCGTATTCTCTCCAAACTTCTCATGCTGCCACTGGAGCCCCCAGCCAGCCCTGCTCCCAGGCTGTAAACATTGCAATTTCGGGCTAGAAGCACCTCTAACTGCTGGACACCTTTCCAGCAAGCCCATAAGACACAACTTAGCACTTCATTTTCCAGAAAATCAATGTAAATAAAGTCACACGAATCAACCCATCTCAAAAGCTCCTTATCCTTGAGGTGGGCAAAGATTTTTCTTAGATACGTTCCCCAAAATTTTATAAATACACACACACATGAAAAAAAGAAAAGCAAGCCAAAATCAGATCTCTAGAAAATCAAAGCAAAACCCAACCCCTCCGTATCTGTTGCTTTAGCAAAGAAAAACAAAGCTTGTATTTCCCTTTCTGCCTTTGATCTTTCCTTCCCAGTTTGCAGAGACAGAAACCACGTACAACCAGAATAAAAACCCAGCAGGTTATGTTTTGGTGCCTCTCACATCTCTAAAGAAAGGAGCTGGGTTACATCAGTGTGGACATAGAATTTGGAGGCTTTGGGGCTGAATCTTCAGAAATCAAATCAGATCATCAAAGCAACACAGATAAATACAGTAAGTAGAATTTTTCTCTCTTTTTTTTTTTTTTTTTTTTTTTTTTGGTGGCTGAATGTTATTTTAGCAAAGATTTAATCCTTTAATAGGATTTCTCAAACACCACCCTCCCCCCTAAAAAATGCCCACAGCTCGATTCCGTTGCACACAGCAGCACCTCTCACCTGGCACCTACATGGTTACTCTCACAGACATTGCACATTAACTGCTTGCTAGAAATCGCACACAAAATGACTTATTATTAACCTGAGCCTCTATTTCAAAGGAAAGCAAAACAACACAGCCAGTGCTCACCACAGACAGATCATTTCCACTCTGCTGCTGCCTAAAGAAGCACAGCTCTGTCTCGCTAGCACAGAACCACGGAGCACTGGATCGCTATTATTATTATTATTTATCACATTTAGAAACCCGGCAAAAGCAGCTACACTTACAGGCATACTTAAAAGACAAGACATGACAAAAGATTTAGGGAGAGATAATAATACCAACGTCATACATATCACAGCGAGGCCATGTTGAAGCTCAACGCGTTTCCCCCCTCAGTAAGAAATCTCTCTCTCTCTTTCTCTCTCTCTCTCGCCTTTCTCTCTCTCTCTCTCCCGCTCGTGCTCTCTTGTTGAATTGCTAGTGGTAGTAGTAGCCCCCAACAGCTCAGGAGAAAAAATCCATTTAACGAGTGCCCAGGAAGAACATGAGTATGACATTCACAAGCAATAGCACCACAATCACTGCAAAAACGACCACCGTTTGAACATCCAAGGTCATGGTGCAATGCAGAACACTGTAGTGTTCGAGGTGTGGGGCTGGCAGATTTGGAGAAGTCAACCTCTGCTCTGTAAGACTGTCCATACATCCACCATGCTAGAATAGAGGAGAAAACTGTTCCTGGTTTTGGGTTGGTTCGTAATGCTTTGTGCTCTGCCTTTAGTTTCTCCCCTATCTGCTGTCTCTAGCTCATTCTGAGCCCGCTAAGTGAAGCATCATCACAACCAGTGAGCACTCGGGATGCAAAATCCTTCCTTTAGGAAAAGAGCGAGCGCTGTCTGCAAGCTTCTCTCTCTGTCTCGTCCCCCCTCTCTCTCCGGGTCTCTCTCTCGCTGGCTGGCTCGCTTTTTAATTCGTCAAGCCAGTGCAGATACGGAGCCCGTGTGAGTGTGACAGCTCTGCAAGCTGCTGCGGCTGCATCCCTCGGAGCGAGGCGGACCCTGGCGCATACTAATCAGCTCCAGTGACCAGGCAGCGACGGCATCCTGGCTGTCACTCAAACGCAGAAGGAAGCGCTGGCTCCATAAATACGCGAGGCTTCCGCCCGCCGTGACAGCGAGCGCCACGCAGCCGCGGCTCTGCCCCGCGCTCCCGGCGTGCCGCGGATGCTCCGGCCCGGCGGCTCCCAGGCGGCTCCGAGGCGGCTCCAAGGCGGCTCCAAGGCGGCTCCGAGGCGGCTCCCAGGCGGCTCCCAGCGCTCCGAGCCGCGCACATCCCGCTCCGCACCGCCCCGGGATGCGGCTGCCCTGGAAGCGCCCTGGAAAACACAGCCCCGAGCCCGCTCGGAGCGGGGAGGGGAGCAGGAGCAAAGCGGCCAAAATAACAAAAAGGCAACTCATGGTAACCTGGGAATTCGCTGTGAGCCTGAAATGTGGGAGCTGGGCAGGGGGAATCACTGTTTAGCTCTGTG